ACAAAATATTGATCTGATCCTCTGGATAAATCAAAATATTGATTTGATCCTCTGGATAAATTTTTATAATTCTTTATTGTTATTTCTAGTCATTTGCTTCTATAATTAAATAATTTATTGTGAATATTGTCTAATGAAGGCAGAGGATTGAACTCCTGTTACGGTAGAATCAAAAGTTGATCAAATTTATCACCACATAGAGGTGTAAGTAGAAAATGCAGATTATTTCCACATAGGCAACTATGTTACTGTTTTAATTTTGCTTGCTTTTAAAACTTTCAGGACATAGAATGGGTGTGCTAGCGTAAAGACCATATTACCACAATGATTTTCTTAACCTCATTAAACAGGCTAGTGTCTGCCAAAAACTTTAGACAAAACATGGTAACCTATATTTAAGCCAACCAATGGGTTAACCATGCTGCTATCGTTATTCTTCACCTGAAGTACTGTCTCATACATTTTGCTAAGTTGTCTAAATCCCGTTGTACTATTGATTTCTCCCCCTATGAGTTCACACCCATTCAATAAGCTGCAAGAACCCCTTGTCCTAGTTGAATTCCCTCCAAAGCAGGGCCCAGGTATGTTACTCCTGACAGCGGTAGTTGGGAGCTGATTGTTAGCTGGTGGGAAACAAACCTCCGGAGACAGGGAGGAAATTTCATCTTGATGTGAGAAACATGACAGGGAAAGATGCCTGTGAGGTTAAATGAAAAGCAGGTTACTAGAAACATGTATGTTATGATCTTATTTAGTAAAATACACAAAAAACTCCCCAAGTCCCACTGTGTGTGTGTGTGTGTGTGTGTGTGTGTGTGTGGGAGAGAGAGAGAGAGAGAGAGAGAGAGAGAGAGAGAGAGAGAGAGAACAGAAACAAGATCTGGAAGGAAATGTGGTGTATATATATGAATGGTGCTTATTTCTGGGTAGTGGGATATTGGTTGGACTTTTTTTTCTTATTATTGTCTTCTCTGAATTTTTCACAGTGAGTATGAATTAATTTAATAATTATAAAAAGATCTGTTTATTAAGAAGGAAGCAGAAGTAAAAACACAACAATTTTATGACAACTTAAAAGAAAATTACTCTTTGCCTTCAAAATAGGGAGATTTCTAAAGTTCCTCCAGGATTTCTTAAAAGAGCTGCTTTTCTGTTTACTCAGCATTTAAAAGACATGGCATTGAGATTTATGAAAACATGAAGATGGCACTCATAATCCCTATATTGCAGAATCATTAAGAGTAATGAAAAGATATAAGCAGATCTACAAAAAAGAAAATGAACCATCCAAACGGCACGTTAAAGAGGGTCTGTGCTCCCTATGTTGCCAGAGCCTGCGGGAGAAGAGAAATGGCTGCCTGCAGGACAGCGCAAAGCAGTCTCTTCCAAAATGGTTAGCTCCACACGTACAGAAGCATGATAGAACTTCAGAACTTTTAAAACAAGGCTGCCCATTTATTTCTCCAATGCTCGACTTAAGATTTATTTAAAAGAAATAATGTATTTACTAATCTATTAGTAAAAGTGCATACATATAAAATATTTATCTGAGTTTGCTGCCAAGTCAACAGATTCCACCCCCTACCCCCATTATCTTGAGACTGATTCAAGACAAGGCAATCACAAGGCTGGCAGCTCAAAGGAATAGAATTCCTATTATGGCACAGTATCACTGCCTCTTAGTCTGGGTTAGTCACTTATTTCCTTTTATTATAATGCCAAATGTTATTTAGATTTCAGTCATTTAGTAATGCTACACTGAACACATCAGGGCTTCTAAAAAATTCCATACCTACTAGTCCTTTCATTTTCATAATAACCATATATCGATATCCCTTCTCCAACCAAATTACACCAGGATGTAAAAAGGAATCTGTGTTTTATCAGAGTTTAAAAAGATTATAAAGCAGTGAACAACAGTCTTAAAAAATGTTCCTTCATGTTATTAAGAATTAGAAAATCTTGTTAAAATTCTTTCAGCTTTTAAGAAACATAAGCAGCTTTGGGATGTAGTGCCTGACATGAACTTTTAAAGTAATTCCCTTGGAGCGATCATCTGCATTAGTGAAGATATTTCACTCAAGGTAGAACCCTATGCTGCTTTTCAGTATTTGAGCAGTCAATCTAATTGCTTTTCTAAGCCAAAGATCGAAAATAACCAATACTACAGACTTTTAAGGATAAGACAGCTTGACTTTCTCTAATGGTGAGAGTCACGCTCACCATCAAGGAGGAGAGCCCTTACTTATAAAAATGCAGCTAATGAGCCCAAGTTGTTAAGGGGTATAGAAAGTCGAATTCACAATTTCCCTAGTTAGGATGGCTATTGGAAGGCAGGGGAGCCAGGGGAGGTAAGCCCAAATAAATATATAATTCCTTTCAATCATGGCTCACATTAAATGATAAATTAACTCTACAGGAGAGAAGGATGGTAATGGTTGAAGGAGATAAGTGTTCTCCTATTCAGGATTAATAATAATAGGTGAAAATGGAGCTTTAACAGTGTACCTAGTTTTATGCATGCTAGTGCTTCACAGAAGACATGGAATTTATCCGAGTTATACTATGTTAAAATATTTATTTGGGTTTGCTGTTTTATTTCAAGTTCAGCCTAGGATATCCTAGCAGAAATGGTTTACAGGCTGTGGATTTTTTTTTTTTATTTCAAATGTTTTCTCCAAGAGACAAGTTACCCTCAATAAGTATTTGGGGAGACATCATGCTCCATATAAATTGACGAGGTGATCAGGCTGTCAATAGAATCTAAGTCAACATTAGGCTGCATTAGAAGTATAGTAACCTGTAGTAAGAAAAGTGACAGTCCTTCTAAGTTTTGTACTTATCACAGTACATCTGGAGGGCTCTTCTCAGGATCATATTTTTAGAGGGTCACCAACAAACTGAAGTGCAGCCAAGGGAGGATGTCTAGAGTGCTGAGTCCATCAGGAACACACCATCCAATAGTCGTCTTAAAATTAGTGTGGTCTGACCCGGAAATGGGAGGAAGGTAGGATCTGAGTCTCTGACTACACATATTGGAAAGGCTCTGATAGGGAAGATGGAGTAAATCTTGTATGTGATCCCAGAGGACATGAAGTTGTAGCTAAGTAGGTTTGAGCTTCAGATCAGGAATAACTTTCTATTAGCACTGCTTGGCAATGGAGGTGGGCAGCCTTGTGAGTTCAGAAGCTTTCTGTTAAGGATGGGTTCCAACACAGACCAGAATGGGCACCTATTGGTTTTGCTGTAGAGGAATAGCTACCTGTGTTGGAATTTGGACTAAAGGATCAAAAAGATCTTGTCTTCCTTCAGACAAATGCTTTTAAACTTAAATTCTTTTGTGCTACATGTTTGAGTTTTGAGGAATCAAGGTGCCTCCATCCAACTCCAGAATGTAAGTGTAGAAAACTATTTTCACGTACTGCTTCTCAAATGCACCCAGACATGAACAGCCTAATGACTAAAAAACAGTCCCAATTATCTCGCTGGCATATCTGTTCAGTAAAATCAGTGAGGTATGGTATAAGAATGTATGACTTCCCCTGAACAAAATTATTCTCATTTTTAAAGGGTAAAGAGTAAACTTACATATTGGCTTTTCTCATGTGTTGGGATAACTGGAAAAGGATGCTCATCAATGCTCCAGGGTAATGATGCCCTAGGAATTGTAGTCAACTTCAATGAGAAAACATGGATTGGTTCTAGATGGAATTAAAATATTTCCCAAAGAGGCAAATATATTCTTCCCCTTCTGTGTGAACAAGCATATTGCATATTGCGATTATTTCCAGGCAAGCCAAATTAAAGCATTTCCTTGGAAGTATGTAGAGTTATGTTAACATTAATATTATTTCCCCCATTTTTCTTTCTAACAAAATGCTTTTGTGTTATGAATCTGTTTTATAACAACAGATCAACTAAAGTACAGGCATCTTTGAAGAGTGAAAAAATAATTTCCCAAGTAAGCAAATAAAACTTTGCACTTCAAATCAGGCCTTGATTCATTAAAAATCTTAAACTTCTCATGAGAAAAATTAACATTTAAACCACTGCTGCTTGGCCAAGCACTCCACCACACAAGAATATGAAATATCTCCTCTAAAAAAGTACAAAAAGGACAAAACCACAAATGTGGAACTTCAATTAATTTAAAGCCCCAATCAGCAAAGAATAAATCCTTCGCAGATCTAATTACCAGCGCTCTCGGAAGACCCAGGCCGACCAGCCAATCTTCCCCGTGTTTGAACAGCTTGATGAACTAGGGGACTGATGGATATCAAGTCATTTTGTTTAATTTATAAATGGATTTTCCCCTAATACTTAAATTATCATCAGTACAACACAATGAAAATGGGAACATTCTGAATGCAAAGTCTATAAGAGTCCTGGAAGGAATCCCAATGAGGAATGTCACCTCTGTTCATTCCTCTATACAATTGATCTAATTAAATACTGAGGGTGGAAAGGCAGTTTAAAATGTAGCCATTTCTGTTTTCTTTTTAGCCTTAATTTATCTGTTCACATCTTTCAAGTACCTTCTGATGCTTAAAAAAAAAAAAGGAAAAAGAAAAAGAAAAGAAACCAAGATTTCTGCAAATCTCTAATACTTCTAATTCTCCATAAGCTAATATTCAAAATGCCTCTACCACAGATTTTGCTGAATAATAAATAAAAGCATTACATTTAGCCATGGTAACAATAAAAGGAAGAAGGTGTTCCAGGTCGGAAGCTTTCCTCTAGTAATATGAAAGAGAAACTAAAGGAACTAGTGCCTTCTATATGTATTGTTCAACTGAAATTAGATCTCTGGATTATACTTATTAAAATGTCTCCTTATTTTCAAATCTCTCCCTTATTTAATTACTGCATGGGACTGAAAGCTGCACAGAATTGTTAAATACCCTTAGACCTATTTATAGTCCCTTCACACGGGTGCCCTGAGCACACTCGTTCGGCAAAGGTCCTGCCCACCAACCCACAAGTTAGGTTTGAATTCCCACCTGGCTCAGGGGTCTCTGACTGAGAGGAGGAAGATGCTGAGCTGGCCCCGTCTTCTGCTGTGCCCTGTGAGAGGAGACCCCGCCCGGGCGGGAGCTTCATGCCCAGCTGCTCTGCCATCTCCACGTGGTCCCCAGGGTGGACATAGTCAAAGACGCTGCTGCCTGTCAGCTCCACCTAGAGAGGGAAGAGAAAGGGTGAGAAAGAAAGGTGTCACAGGCTTTTCCATGTTCAAATTCAGCACCAAAGTGATTCAGATTCTGAGCAGAAAAGGAAAATACTCAGGCACTAGAAGCAATTCTTGTTCGAAGGCTTCATCTTCAAATACTTAAGGATTCCTGAACTTGAAAGACTTTTTTTTTTCTCATGTATTTATTTAGCAATTGTTTAGCCCAGTTTTTCCTTCATACACTGTTGTTTGCATAAATCCAAACATCCTGTGAAATGTGGACAAGTCTGCCTCACGTTCAGCTGTTTTATCCACGCATCATCAAATACTTGTATGTTTGGTGTCAACTGGATGATTGACTGAATTCTACAGTTTTCTTATTGAGAAATTTGGGCTTTGTATAAAAATGGCTACAGAAAAAGCCAAAGATAGTAGACGAGTATTTTCCTTAAAATACACAGATTTCCAAGATGTGTTTTTATACATACCCTCTTATTTCTATGTAAATTTAAACATAAGAAGTGCTGCTTACAAATATATGCAAAGGCATAATGTTTTCATTAAATATTACTCATTAGCGCTGTAATCATATGGAGAATTTTCCATGCAAAAGAGGTCAGCTGGGGTCTGAAGCAGCCATTTTTTTTTCTGCTGGTATCAGCTTGTTTTGCCTTCAATTTAATAAAATACATGGTACAGATCTCCTTGAGGGCTTTTTAAAAATTGTTTTCTTTTGTGTACTCTTTGAATTAGGCTGACTATGAGCAAAGAGAATGAACATGAACTGTCAGAAAAGAAGCCCCTCCTGTTTCAGTGCTATCAGCCAGGACTCCTGTATCTGGGTCGTGTGCTGTCTCAGGGGGCAAGAATTGGTCTTACCTCTGTGTTCTTCCAAAGCTCTAACTTTTATCTCTTTCTAAGAATAGCAGTAATGCTCCTAATGTACCGCACTTGGGTTATAGGTGTTACAACAGGGAGAGGTGCTTTCACAACAGGACAAGGAAAAGCTCTTTCCTGGGTCACTAATGGGTTTCCCAATCCCCTGGGGTGTAATGGTCTCAGGCCAGCTATGATGTGCCGTGGAAGCTGCCAGAACATCGCACTGTCACAAGTTTCTTGGTGGATATTACCTAGAGCCTTTCCTACCTCATATCCCTTTCCTGTGTAATATCCAGCATCCTTCCAAATTCCACCTGAGTGCTTGCACTCTTTTTGCTGCCAAGAAGGAAAATTGGCGATGGGAGAACTGTCACAGGGAGTGTAATGCTCAGAGCAATTATTACCCTCAGAACTCCAAGTCCCAGGAAGATGATCAAATCTACTGCCAGACACCATTTGATTAAAATCTTAACAGGCTACACATCTTCAACATCTATCAATTAACAGAGGTAGAGCCAGAAGAAGAGGAGGCTAAATTCAGTTTGGTTAATAGCTATTCCTGAAAAAGGCTCCCATAACTTTTACCGAAAATGAGGTACTTTCTCTCACTATTAAATTACATTCTCCTACTGTATTACCCGACAACTGACTATCATTTTACAATACCTATTTCCTCCACTTGGTATTGTTGCAGAGAGTACATGGGGATTCACAGTGATCAGCTCCGACCCTCTGGGAGGGGGGGATTACATGGAAATAATCCCTTTAATGTGTGCCTTGCCTCTAAGCACTTCACACAGCAATAAATGGGTAAACTGACTTTGAGCAATTAAGAAATTAAATGAAACTAATAAAATGTGTGTTTTAATATTTCTTGATAGTTATTTTGTTTGGGGATTAGTGAATATGAGGAAGTCACTCATTTTACATGGAGTCCAATTGTGGCACTTTCATAAATATTTTTTTTGTCACTTTTCTCAAACTCTAATGGTTTTCTTTAATACTTCAAAGTGGTTTTTGGCACAGACCACAGATTGTGATGGCAGCACAAGTAGGATATAAAATAAAATTTTAAGGGGTCCTGGTTGTTGAATATTCATGTATGCCAGTCTATAGAGAAAGAGCAATAGCCCACAGTTTTCACAACCTGATCTGCTTGGATTTGCAGGCACTTTCTTTACACAAAACAACGTCTTGAGTGTGGCACATGTAAAGAAGGACTAAGTCACAACGTGCCATAGGGCATTATGCATGCTGTGGACTTTCTCTTCCAATGACCTCATGGGTTCCCCCAGAAAGACATCTCAGAGCTAAATACTGATTGAGAGGCTGGCCCCCAAAATTTGACACTGTCATGGTCTTCATGCATTCTTGTAGTTAAGGCGATATGGTTTGGTGGAAAGCACAAGATACTTGGAGACACAATCTGACTTTGAGATCAGAATCTTTTCTTCTTCAGCTGTGTGGTCCTGGACAATTCACTTAACTTCCTAGGCTTCGGTTTCCTAGTCTAAAACTGGCAGCATTCCTGCTCTGTAGGACTCTGGGAGCACTGCTCATGTGTTACTTTGTGGACATGGTCCCCCTGGAGTGCCAATCTTCAGGAATGGTACAAGGTATGGACCTTGAGAGCTTGAATGAAAACAGGACTTACTTTGCCACTCTATAGCCAATGAAAATCCAATGAAACCACGCAGAGGAAGTCACTTTGTGAGACTTAAACACTCTCAAATGACTGCTCTTGTTGTTGCTTTTTTTGGTTGATAAGAATGGATGGCAGCCGGGCACTATGGTGCACACCTGTAATTCCAGTGGCTTGAGAGGCTGAGGCGGGAGATTGCAAGCTCAATGCCAACCTTGGCAAAAGTGAGGCACTAAGCAACTCAGTGAGACCCTGTCTCTAAATAAAATACAAATAGGGCTGGGGATGTGGCTTAGTGGTCGAGTGCCCCTGAGTTCAATCCCGGGTTACCTGATGCCCCCCCACCAAAAAAAGAAAATGTATATTCCAGGGTAACTTGGGGTTTGGGACATCACTTTAAACAGGGTATGGCAGGGGTGACAAGTGCTTTGAATCTTAACTACAAGAATGACAATATTAGCAGCCACCTACTTGTGCAGGTACTTTCTATACTTTGATGAATTCTCATACAATCTTTTAAATTGGTATGATTTTCCCCATTTCACAGGAGAACCTATGTATTGGAAAAGGCCAATGGTAGTGACAGACTGGTTCAAAGGCTATTGACTTGACATGTGACTTCTCAGGCAGAAACATTTGCAGCCATAGAGGGACCTGTGAGCTTCTTTCCCCTTCAATGTGACTCCTAGCAGGAGAGACCGTGGAGTACTATGAAGGCAGGAGGCCAAGGGCAGGTAGCCTGCCAGTCCCTTGGGGCTCAGGATACTTTGGACTCTTTGACCAATGGAAGGTACAAAAGGATGTGTACTAAGCCAAGATAGATGTGGGAGTAGACAAAAATCTATTCAGTATTCACCTCCAGCCATCACGGTCATCACCACTACCACATCTCACATTTATCAAACACTTTCAACATTTCTCTTACTGATTCCACTTAATTAAAATTTAGAAGCGAAAGAGAACTTAAAAACCATCTATTAATATCCCCTGATGTAATTGGTGAAAACTCTACAATTCTGAGAAGTTAAAATGCTTTTTCAAGTTTATCCAGCTGTGTGAAGGCAGAAGTAAGGCTAGAAGCCCAGCTGACTGACACATAGTCCACCACTTTCCTCACTTAACCCTTGTCTTTTTTGTTTTCCTCCAATGAAGACTGACTAGGTGAATCAGAAAAATTCATATTTCCTGCCACTAAATTCTGTGCCAAAAAATAGACCACAGAAAGTAAGACTGGAAGTCTTTTACTTGATGGAGAGACATTACTTCATGTTAGTTTCAAGTAGGAAAAATAAATAGAACACTAATCCAGTGTTAATTAGGTATGTTCGGATCCCTAGTTACTAACTTTTTCAAAATTTCTGCCCACTGATTTCTTGTCAATGGTAGGTCTATCACAAATGTTTGTTGAATGAACAAAGGATGGGTATTTAGGCCTGAAAAATAATTCTGCTTGATCTTCATTTGTTTTGAGCACAATTAAGTTTTCTTTTTAAAAATATTATTAGTGGGCTGGGGATGTGGCTCAAGTGGTAGTGCGCTTGCCTGGCATGCGTGTGGCCCGGGTTTGATCCTCAGCACCACATACAAACAAAGATGTTGTGTCTGCTGAGAACTAAAAAATAAATATTAAAAAATTCTCTCTCTCTCCCACTCTCTCTTTAAAAAAAATATTATTAGTGACATTACTTTTTACAGCATTATTTATTTTGTAAAATGAGTTGCAATATAACATCATTATATATTCGCTTCCAATAAACCTTTGCCATATGCATTAAGACTCATACCTTCTTTTATAGACCCCAAATAAGTTTACCTGAAAATAGAATTATATAAATACTAGGAAAGATAGATTTTAAGAAACTGTTTCAAAAAATAAGGACCATCTTTCATATCCCATTTTGTTTCCGATTTCTGACAAAACTGTTTGGCTAGTTAGCTTTCAAGTTTCACATCCCTGTATCCTTATCTGAATTGCAACACAGTTCCACAAAAAATTATTTCTAACTTTCCCTTCATTTCACCAACAGTAGAAATTTAGAGAAATTTATTTGATATTAATTATTGGTCCTATTCTTAACCCTTCACTATGATTTATACAGTTTCTTCCTTTCTCCACCAATAGTGTTTTTCTACTTAGTGCAAATTACATTCTAAGGCAAATGTGAAAAACTCTTCATTTTATAGTAAAGTCAATCACTGTATACAGTAGTTTAAAAATTCCACTTTTGAGGGGCTGGGGATGTGACTCAGTGATAAAAGTGCTTGCCTAGCATATGTGAGGCCCTGAGTTCAATATTCCACTTTCTGTTTATTAAACTCAAGAAACAGACCCATGGGTCTTTGAATGGTTTGTTTTCCCAACATAAGAAGGACAAAGAAGCATGACTGTTGCCAAACTCACTCACTAAGTCCAACTTTCCTCCAGCTGAGTCACTCTAAAAGAGCATCTCCTATTGCTTAGTATATTGTAAAATAACTGAGAATGCA